AACTTGAGATCCTCCAGCCTCAGCCTCCTGAGTGGCTGGGATCCTAGGTGTGGGCCACCACACCCAGCTTTATGGGGTCCACGGTCAACAAGGCTCCTGTTTCCATCATTTTCTAGTTCACTTCCCCACTGTCTGTGAGATCGAGGGGCATGTTAGTTTTTGACCACAATAAAAATGTCCCTTGCAGCATGCTGCAGTCCCACAGAGGGTGGGCTCTCCCTGGACCCTCAGGAGATGGGCTGAAGCTATTCTATACCCATTTGGTAAGTGGGGAAACAGAGGCCCCAGAGAGGAGTGGTCCCCACGTCCCACAGTGCCCAGGACTTCTCAATGTCTCACCCTCCCCACATGGCGACCCCCCTCCGTGATGAAGGTGGGCCCCCTGGAGCCCAGTAGATGTCACCTGGCCTGCCCCCCCGGCCAGGGGCCAGTGCCCACACTCACCGTGGTGTCTTCTGAGCAGGAGGCGATCTCAAAGTCATCAAAAGGGTTCCACTTGATGTCTAAGACGTTGCCGCGGTGCCCACAGACCTTCGGGTAGTGGGGGTCCAACTTTCCTGTCTGTACAACATTGGCCGGGGAGGAGGCCACTGTGAGTCCAGCACCCCAGGTCACCCAGTCCGCAATCGCGGAGTAGAGGGGAGAGCGTCAGGGACAGATCTGGGCGTGAATCTAGGTCTCCCCGCGTGTTCCCTCAGGGAGTTACGACCCTTTTCTGAGCCTCAGTGTCCTCCTGGGCCCACTGGAAGGAATAATGGGTCCATGTGAGGATCCCAGGCAGCACGGTGCCCGCACACAGGAGTGTTCAGGACAGGGCCAGTCCCTTCCTACCCTGCTGGCCGGTCTGTGAAAAGGTGCAGCTCTTTTGGAAAACAGACTGGCACAGTTCCTCAGAGGTCACACACAGAATTACTATCTGACCCAGCAATTCCACCCCGAGGTGTATCCCCAATGTTAGCCAGGCGTAGTGACACAAGCCTGTGATCTCAGCAACTCAGGAGGCTGAGGCAAGAGGATCCCAAGTCCAAGGCCAGCCTCAACAACTTAGTAAGACACTATCTCAAAAGAAAATAAAAAGGGCTGGGGATGTAGCTCAGCAGTAGAAGGCTTGCCTAGCATGCATGAAACCCTAGATTCAATCCCTAGTACCACACACACACACACACACACACACACACACACACACACA